CTACGCAAATTATTAGTTGAAAAATGTTTCTATTCTTTGTCTGAATACCTCGCACTGTGATATATTTTTTTTTAACTTTTTTTATATGTGAATGTCTGTACGCATTAAGTTGTCCCTGTTTGTACGTTGTAAATACTTATGTTTGTTTCGTTTTTATTTTTAATATGTGTACTATGTACCTCCCTCTTAGGACGAGTCTTATGTCATTTTTTATGATCTACAAGACAATAAATCTATCTATCTATCTATCTATCTAACGCCCCGGCTCACACCGCCTTTCTTGTGAACAGCTACCTGACCAAGGCCGGCATCCCAACGCTTCCGCAGCCGCCCTACAGCCCAGATGTGGCCCCCCGAACTTTTTTTGTTTCCTCGCATGAAAAGTCCGATGAAAGGCAAGCATTTTGATACGACAGAGGGGATCCAAACAGCATGCACCGCGGCTCTCAAGGCTATTCCAGAGAAGGCCTTCCGTGACGCCTTCAATGCTTGGAAATCGCGCTGGCAGCGCTGCATCGACGCAGAAGGAGCCTATTTTGAAAGTTATTAAAGAATTGTAACGATTGACTCAATAATATTTTTTAAGTAGACTCAGTCTTATTACTTTCCGGACAAACCCTGTGCATCGAATGAACTGTGAAAGTAAATTGGACCTATCGGTAATTCACGTTAAGTAAAGTTACCCAGCTACCAAGCTTTTCCCTTTATTACGAACTGATTTCCAAATCCAAATATGCAATGCGCCGCTTTTTACGCCCATTTCAAAAAATCTCCATGATTTATTCATTAGCTTTAATGCGTCCAGTCCATTTAAGGAGCAAATATGATAAACATACCAATATAAAACAATTACAAAAATCGAACATGAAAAACACATCTCGTTGAACCATGCCAATTTAGACGACCCAGCGAACGAGACTGCGAAACGTTACGTAATCTCGCAAGGAATTGAACCAGAAAAGTCAAAGTGGCTCTGATACTACCGTCAAAATAATTTATAGACATGTTAGCGTGCATTGCGAAATTTGTACCGGTGACTGAAACTTTAGCCTGATTTTGCCAAATATGGCGGTGTGAATAATGAATAACAGATTTTACCGTGTACATTCCGCCTATTCTCAGTGACTTCCGGAATTGGTGTAGATGGTTTGTACACAGAAAAATTTAAATGGTTTAATCGGAAAATGTTTGATGGTATTTTTCCATTTCCCACGCGTAAAAATTCGAAAATGTGATATTTTATATCATGTTTTCTGGGCGTGAAAACCATGTGACTCATTTTCGTCGGTCTGTTCGCTAATCCTTGATCCCTCGATAACTTGGAAAGCACTGCTCGGATTTTGATGAAATTTTACCAGAAGGTTACTACTATGCCAATGGCAAAAATGCGTTTCTACAGATCGATCCCATACACGAGAAAACAAAAATTGCACAAAATGTGTTTTGCAATGTTTCAGAGGCTCCTGATCATTTTTGGAATTGAATTTGTCGGGGTTAAAAGTTGGGGCTTGGGGATCGTTGGTGCATTAAAGCGCTTACCAGTCACCGCTGGCGCTGGCTTGAAGGCTTATGGTATGACTGACTGGTATGGTTCAGCAACGCTGTCAGATTGTCGATACTGTACTGTCGGTAGGGCAGGGACAACATTTATATGGGAAGTATGGACTAACTGTATCGGCTCGTTTGACTGTAATTATTTAATTTTTTTACTTGTTATAATTTTCATAACTTTTTCCTCAGAGAACATAATCCTTTATAAATTGATGAGAGAGTTGCATGGGAAGTGCAGAGGCAACCTACTTCATGCAATTTTTTTATAATAGTGGTTGACAAAAATTTCGTTCAGAATCACAAGAATCAATTTTTCAGACTGTAAACTTCAGTGCATAGGTTTTAGTTAGCGCAGTCAGTATTAGATTTCGAGAATTTTTGAAAATCATTCAAGATAAGCAAAAGTAGCATTTCTCCCAATACCCAACTGAGAAAAAGGAACATGTTTTTCAAGCGTGTGTATGTGGGCAAAAGTAATTTTATCTCTCAAAGGACTTGATTGGATTTTGACATATCAGGTGATTCGTCTTAGCAGCGCGAGTGGAACTGGATATGTTAAATTTTTATAAAATCTATTGGCGGATCTCAAACGCAAATTTCTGCTTTGAAATTTCTACTTCACGAGCTACAGCCCAAATGGTTTGATGGATTTTGGCATTTGAAGTGCCCTTGATTCGTCAGATAGTCCAATTGAAACTTTATTCGTTTCAACGGGTGCAGTCAGTCTTTTGTCTTTTTTAATGTACTTGTAGTTTAGTTCAGATCTTATCTTTGAATTTCTTATGAACGTATATATGGGATGTTATAAAAAAATGTATATTTTAATGAAATCAATAGTTTGCCTTAAAACCTTTTATTTGTGAACGAAAAATGGCAAAAGTTTCCCTCCGAGGTTCAGATGTAAAATTTTGTGCCAAATATGTAATATATGTATGTTTTTTTTCTTATACTGGTATCCCGGGAAAACACCTAATCCTATGGTGATGTAAAATCTCGCAAAAAAGGCAAAGATAAACTGTATCATTCATAAAAAATCTGTTCTGATACTGATAATGCAGTCTTGTCTAGGGGAAAAATACTTGATACTATAGCAAACGACTGTAAGATTCTGTATTCTGAGGCTTTATTCGATTCCCGAAATATCGCAGTATGGTGTGCCTGCATTTTGAAGAGTTGTTATTTTTCTATAAAATATTTGCTGTTAAAACAGTCGATTGTTTGGTTAAACGAGGAAGTAGGTAATGTTTTTTGTTACCTCTACGTTTACCAAGCTTATCTTCTTTGGAATAAAAAATGAGTCTTGATGATCTAAATCAAAATATTGACCATGTTAATGTTAACCTTGTGTATGAACAATAACAAATAATACATTCATTAATTTTTTATTCTTTATATTCTAACTTGATCATTAGCTTTTCATGTAACTACGGTTTCGGTAAATATTGTCGAATATTAATTATTTTGAATTATAACTCGATACCCATTAGCCTACCAATCATTAATCATAGATCCCTATTGATCTAAAAACTTGATCTACATACATACAGTAAAAATCACGAAAGATGACTATTACGTCATACCATAAATTGTACTGAAGGAATCAATGGACGTATGTATGTCGATGATGTCAGGAACATATATTATGACAATGAATTTATATTATGATTTTGCGAAGTTAGGTTATTTCATTGATTATTTTTATTTTCATTTTATTTCATGGTTTTAATCATAATTTTAGTTTTTGTTTTGAAAAAACAGTTATGAGTAGAATACACCCTTAGAAAGGAACACCAAAGGCCAAAGTATTATTCGAAAACAACCTAACCTGCTTTAACATAACCTAACTATTCATCTTTCAAATATGATCGATCAGGCAACATGAACACATCAGCTACCTTTGTCGGATACATGCAAATTAGCAATACAGTTTGTTTGTTTAGACAATAAAATTAAGTTTGTCTCTGTCTAACGTATCTAAAACTTCATTAAAAATATAGACAAATCGCTGTCGTTTGTCTTTACTACAGACTAAAATGATGACGTAATCGTCATCTTTCGTGATTTCGACTATATATCAATGGTTACGCTACTCCACAAATGAATATTTTTTCTCTCTTTCTTAATATCGTGCTTGACGATCATACAAACAGCAATATAGTTATAAAAAGTATGTACTAAGTACATTTTTTCAATGAAATTTCCATTCTTACTTTGAATTCAAATCTGGCATAAAACAAAAACAATCAAGATACATCTCTTCAACGAACTAAACCCTACTAAGTCGCTTCACTAACTGTGCGTGCAATAAATGTAAAAAATGGCGTATATTAACTCTATACTTTCCACGCCTTCAAAGCATTTTCCAATAAAATCTTCCATGTGGTGCAATGGCTTCAAAAGGCCTCATATTGCAGCAGTAATGTACGTATCCGTATACGGGAGCATCATTTCTCTGAAGCTTTGTTGTAAAACTGCATGTCAACGATGTTTGATAACCTACTATAATACAAGAGATGCAAATTTATATATAACCCCGTGGCGCACGGCATATGCGAACGATAGACGATCTGCCTGCCGAAAATATATCTCTGAGCTTTAAGTGCAAATGTACGGGGAAATCTGCGGTGTCAAAATTTGTCTAATAGCTTTTTTGTCCAAGGCATAGTAGGCACGTTGTCTGAAAATTTCATCAAAATCCGAGCAGTACTTTTTAAGTTGTAGGCGGTCCAAGGATGAGCTGGCAGACATACCTACAAAAATAAGTGACATGGTTTTTCGTGATGTACCTACATGTTATGTAACATGCAAATATCTCTTTTTCGAAATTTTTTGCAATTGCCGTGTGGCGTGGGAAGTGAAACGATGTCAAACTATATCGTTCTATCTCTATCAGTATGAATCAGTTTTGTATAGGCAAAAGCAATCTAAGCTGAATACTGCTGGACAAAACAATACAAGGAATTTTGGGAGCTTATAAAAAATTACCTATACATGATAGAAAAATTGGAAAGCAGATCTTGATTCATCATGTTAAACCTTTCATACACATTATATTTGAATTTAAGGCAGGACTGCATATTCCGTTGTAGAATCAGGCATGTGTAATCTATATGTATTTATCTTTTTCCCAAAACATCGTAGTCTTTAACTGGAAAAAGGAAATCCTTACAACATACTTTCTTTGTATCTCACGTTTTCCATATTTGTCTGCGAAAGGTTGGCAAATCTCAAAACTGGAGATGCTACAGACCAAAATATGTGAATTGACCTATACATACTTAGTCCAAAAGTTATTTTGCTATTTACTTTCATCAGTAAACTTGTGTTTGCCTTATGAAACTCGGTGTTTTACATGAAATAATGAGTATCAGTGACGTGGTCGTGGTTTTGGGACTGTAGTTTCATAATGGGAACCAGATCAACTTACGTAAACAACTTAATTGTTTCAGGTGATTCAAAGGCGAGATGATTTTGGCTTCCCAAGAGAGAACTTCAACAGAGACTGGAATGACTACAAAAATGGATTTGGGGATCCAGCCAAAGAATTTTGGCTGGGCAATGAAAATATCTACATGTTAACCAATAATGAAGAGTATTCTCTGAGAGTTGAACTAGAAGACTTTGAAGGGAATAAGAGGTATTATATTTATACTAACCATCGTACTTTTGTAAATTAATGTTTGCCGAAACGTTAACCCAACGTTTTTCTTTCGTAAATCCTCAACCGTCAAAGTATAAAATTTGGAAAATGTTCAAAGCTTTGTCTGGCAACATACCATCAGAAGGGATGCCGCTTGTAAAGCCCACATTAGATGTATACAAACTAGTAATTTTTTATTCCGGGTGATTTTTTCACATATCTGGACATTCCATATATGTACTGACTTTAAATACGAAAGTTGTTTCAACTCTAATACGGTAAACGATACGCCGATAGAAGAATTCTAGACAAACACCTGACGAATTTGCACCCGTTATTTTGTAATGGATATGTCACAGCCATATCGTAGAATTGACCATCTCATGAAATGGTCGGATTCCATAAAATGCCCAACTAAATTAAACCATAGCTTTGAATCGTCAACGTTAAGCGATTTGGTCATTAGCGATTGATCATTTCGTAAAATGGACTGTCCATAGAATATTTATTAAGAATCCAGAATATGTTAAGAGCTTGCTTATTGTTCTTTAAGTACGACAGCCATTTATAAATAATCATATTGAAACATTTTTTAATTGCATAACGTGTCACAAATAACATTTTTGAACATATAAGATATCACAAATTACCTCGCGTGGTCAACCTACTCTTCTTTAACATATACCTTAAAAATGAAATAAAAATTACAATAACTTTCACATACATATAATATGGCTGGCATATGATTTTGACTTTGACTAAATGAATAATAATGTAATTTATGAGTGAAGTAATAACCCCTGAAATATATCGCGAACCCCTCGTCTTTTTGACATTTTGATCAGTATTCGCGTGACCCGCATAGTAGTCTAGAACTCGCGTATCTTTTTGTCGTAAAGTATTTTAATCCATCTTCTTCATTTGGTTACGAATAGTTAGAGTTTTCATTCGAAAAACAATTTATTATTAACCACCGCGGAAGTCGTGTTGAACTGTAAACAAAGCGCTCCAAGCGCCCTTCTCGGTAATTTATGTAATTACTTTACGATTTGATCAAACATGCTATCCCCCATTCGTAGTCCATTTATGCTCAGATAAAACACACCATGCCCAAAGCGAGATTGTACAGGTCCGTATTTTCCTCAAAGGTCTTGGAATAATCTAACAAAATAAATGATTATTTTTAGAGAAAGAAACCAAAAAAATAGGAAAATAATGGGCAAAATCCGCAAAAAGAAGGAAAGTGGATTCGAGCAGAAAATAGGATAGGTAAACCGAGCGATACGTATTTCTGCTGGTTGGCTTCATCAGGCCCGAAATGAATGCACTTATGCAACTACAAGAGTAGATACACCTGCTCATACATCCGGATATGGGTGTAACCATTATTTTAATATTTTTTGTTATAGACATTTCCCCGCATGATTATTTTCTTTTTGTAGATCCTTTGGGCTTGAAGTACCACAGCAAGTGGCTATAACCGGCCGCGTGGTTGTGGTTAGATGTCGTGTTGAAAATTCGAGGTCTTCTAGCCATTTTATACTACAATGTGTAGGTTGGCTCTTGTTGCGGAATTCGTGTGTGATTTTTTCCCTCTCCATCTTTGTTTCCTCAGGTTACACCCGTATCCGGATGTATGAGCATGTGTATCTACTTTTGTAGTTGCATATGTGCATTCATTTCGGGCCTAATGAAGCCAACTAGCAGGAATACGTATCGCTCGGGTTACCTAACCTATTTTCTGCTCGAATAAAATTTCTCATTTCTCCGCATGATTATTTTCTCTTTATATATATAGCATTAACGGCTACTAGGCCAGGCTGCATGCATGGTCTCCCACTCCACCTCCGGTTTGCCATTGGTTCTGTGTAAGGGCTCGACCTATTCTGCCCAATAACAGTTATGCTCTCTCTCTTTCTTGAAATATACCTGTATCAGTGTGCTGATCACGCAATGATCACGCGATGATTACTGTTTTGGTTTAGTCTCTTTCTTCGATACATACATAATAGCACTACATCTACCTGTACATTCCCCATAAATGAGGAGCATGTTGGTGTACTCCTGTATGGTGTATAAAGATATGGTGGCACTACACAATCATGAATTGAAAGAAGTGGCGTTACTATCTATCTTGTTGTAGCCTTTGAAAAGTACATGACATAGTTGTTTTTATATTCCTCTGCTAACTATTACAATTTGGCCCACTCCCCGTTTCCGGCTTGACGTCGATTCCGGGGACACCCTGTATAGTATATGGCAGCGTTGTTAAGTATTATGTTATGCTTTTTTGCGCGAATCAGTGCATGAAAATGAAGACATACGAAGCTTGAATCAAACATCCTACGCAACTTATATATCACATTTTGCTTTCACGGTGTCGAGAAAGGCATTCCATTCATTCAGTCCCATTCAATAGTACGTGATGCTGAAAGGAAATTGAGATGAACGTCCATGGGATAATTTATAGGCCTATTAGATGTTATGCATTAAGAACATGGAACATAATTCTGTACCTTAGAGCCAAACTAGGTTAAGTCCAAATAAGTAGTTTTGAGATAATTGAATTTGAAATATTTTTCTTGTATTGTTGTATGCGACTTGACATGAGTTAAAAAGTCGTAACTTCCTTATCATTACAGATAGATGGACGCTGCAAGTAGCAAATGAAAATTCACTATATTATCAAAGGCTTAACATAGTGAACTCATTTTTGGAAACAATGTTATTAACCTAATCTGGCTCTGGGGTACAGATATGTACCTACTGCAACTTTAGAAACATTTCAGGATATTTAGTTATCTTCTGTAAGAAGTTGCCGGATTTTTTCTTTGGTGAACATTGACAGGTTCTAGCGTCTCTTCTACGAAACCGTATTAGAAGTAACATTCTTTTGAGACATTTCTTAACAATCGTATAGTAATTCCCTAATTTGTTCGTATTACCCTACTTTTCAACAAGTGTTTGTCGAAAAGTATGGTGCGCAGTTTGTCAACTATGTAATTTGAGCATTTTTGATTAAAATTCTGTCGCCAATGGATTGAATATATCGATTTAATTTTTTGTCACGATTACGATATTTTTCGTGTCTTTTGGCGTGGGACACATCTTTGCTTTATGAATCTGGCCATGTCGGAAATCATTGGCGGATTTAGGGGGAGGCTAGAGGGGCGCCTCCGCCTAGAGGCCCAGCTCTGTCAATTTTTTTTTCAAGAAAATAGTATTTATTGCTGTATTTAAATGTAAAAATGATCTTACTAGATCCGAATCGTGAGACGTGCGTCCCCTAGACATATCCTATCCGCCGCTCTTTGATAGTTCCAAGGGCATTTGCTCTCAGAGGTGCTGTTCAAGTCAGTGTGCTAGGTATAGTCCATCTGTAGAATTTTTTGGTAGACAGTGCTGCAAACATCTGCCAATGATTGAAAATTGAGAAGGGGGCACCTTGACTAAGGCCCGTATCGTCCGTCGTCCCTACAATTTATTGTAGGGCGCGTTTATTGGCCTCCTTGATTGTCATACTCGTTTCTCTCCTTAAAAAATGTCTAGAAGGTTAGTTGTCTCCGAGCACTTGGAGAGTCAGGACAGGCATTTTCGCGCGACGTGTTTCTGTGGATGGTGCAAGCCGAAAATGCAGCGTTCGTTAGAGCAGAGGTACGCGATTAAATTCTGTGTGACACTCGGTAAATCTGCGACAGAGACGATTGATATGATCAAGCAGGCTTACCCAGGTGTTGCTTTAGCAACAAGTGGTGTGTTTCGGTGACACCAGGCCTTTTTGGAGGGCCGGGAAGAGGTTTCTGATGAAGACCGTGCTGGAAGACCTTCGACAAACACCGATAATGTGACTCGTGTGCGCAAAGTTTTGAACTCAGACCGTCGACTAAGTATTCGTTTAATTATCCAGATGTTAAATTTACCAAAATCTGTGGTTCATGACATTGTGACACAGAATTTGAATATGCGCAAGGTGTGCGCGAAGATGGTCCCAAAAGTGCTCACTGACGACCAGAAATTGCGGCGAGTGGAAGTGTGCCAAGAAAATTTGAACATGTGTGAAAGTTACCCCCAATTTTTGAATAACATAATTACAGGTGACGAGTCGTGAATCTTTGAGTATGATCCCGAGACAAAGAGGCAATCTTCCGAGTGGCACATGACGGCGTCTCCTCGCCCAAAAAAAAGGGAAGAATGAAAAAAGTGAAAACGATTGTCATTGTCTTTTTTGACATCAAAGGCATCGTCCACCATGAATTTGTTCCTCCTGGACAAACCGTCAACGCCAAGTTTTACGTGGAAGTGCGCAGGAGACTCAAACGAAGGGTCAGTCGGGTCTGACAAGACATCGCAGCCGTCTGGAAGTTGCACCGCGACAACGCCCCGGCTCACACCGCCTTTCTTGTGAACAGCTACCTGACCAAGGCCGGCATCCCAACGCTTCCGCAGCCGCCCTACAGCCCAGATCTGGCCCCCCGGACTTTTTTTTGTTTCCTCGCCTGAAAAGGCCGATGATAGGCAAGCATTTTGAGATGACAGAGGGGATCCAAGCAGCATGCACCGCGTCTCTCAAGGCTATTCCGGAGAATGCCTTCCGTGACGCTTTCAATGCTTGGAAATCACGCTGACAGCGCTACATCGACGCAGAAGGAGCCTATTTTGAAAGTTTTTAAAGAATTGTAACGATTGGCTCACTATTTTTTTTTAAATCGACTCAGTCCTATTACTTTCCGGACAAACCCTGTATGTTTTCTTTTTAAATTGTAGGAAATTTCAGGCTGATAAAACATGATATAACTCAAATGCAAGCACAATTTGATGCAAATAGATGTTTGTGACATAACCTCAAAATAGAGCGCTGACGCGGAGAAGTAGAAAACTATGACAATCAAGGAGGCCATAAAAGCGCCCTACAATTGTAGGGACGACTGACGATACGAGTCTAAGGTCAACTCGGTTTTGAAACTGAATAGCGGGGAGAGGGGAGCATCAGATGCTGA